TGTCTCAGTTCCAAAGATTGAGGGTGATGTAAAAGCACCTAAAATAGACATTAAAGGACCAGATGTAGACATTGATGCCCAGAAACCTGGATTCAAGATGCCAAAATTTAAAATGCCCACCTTTGGATTCAAAGGTCCACAATTTGAAGGCCCAGAGTTTGATGCTCGCCTCCCTGACGCTGGAGTTGACATAACTTTACCCAAAGTAGACATCAAAGGACCTGAACTTGACCTAGAGAGTCCTAGTGGTAAGATCAAGGGGCCCAAATTTGAAATGCCAAGAATCTCAGGACCACATATTTCAATGCCTGACATTGGTTTCAATCTCAAAGGACCCAAAGTAAAAGGTGGCCTTGATGTGTCATTGCCTAAGATTGAGGGGGACATTAAAGGACCTGAGGTTGACATTAAAGGTCCAAACATAGAAATCGAAAAGAAGCATGGTGGTTTTGATATGCCAAAAATCAAAATGCCAACGTTAAATCTCAAAGGGCCTAAAGTTGAGGGGCCAGATGTTGATGTTGACATTAACCTACCCAAAGCCAACATTGACGTGAAAGCTCCTGATATAGACATCAAATCTCCAGAGATTGACATTGAAACTCCTGATGCAAAATTCAAAGGCCCTAGGATCAAATTTCCAACACCGTCTGGCCCCAAGCTGCCTGAGTGGGATCTTAGCCTTAAAGGACATCAATAAAAGGTGATGCTGATCTCTCAGTTCCAAAGAGTGAGGGTGACATAAAAGCACCCAAAATAGACATTAAAGGGCCACATGTGGACATTGATGCTGACAAACCTGGATTCAAAATGCCAAAATTCAAAAAGCCCACCTTTGGATTCAAAGGTCCACAATTTGAAGGCCCAGAGTTTGATGCTCGCCTCCCTGACGCTGGAGTTGACATAACTTTACCCAAAGTAGACATCAAAGGATCTGAACTTGACGTAGAGAGTCCTAGTGGTAAGATCAAGGGGCCCAAATTTGAAATGCCAAGAATTTCAGGACCACATATTTCAATGCCTGACATTGGTTTCAATCTCAAAGGACCTAAAGTAAAAGGTGACCTTGATGTGTCCGTTCCTAAGATTGAGGGTGACATTAAAGGACCTGAGGTTGACATTAAAGGTCCAAACATAGAAATCGAAAAGAAGCATGGTGGTTTTGATATGCCAAAAATCAAAATGCCAACGTTAAATCTCAAAGGGCCAAAAGTTGAAGGTCCAGATGTTGATGTTGACATTAACCTACCCAAAGCCAACATTGACATGAAAGCTCCTGATATAGACATCAAATCTCCAGAGATTGACATTGAAACTCCTGATGCAAAATTCAAAGGTCCCAAGATCAAATTCCCAACAATGTCTGGCCCCAAGCTTCCTGAGTGGGATCTTAGCCTTAAAGGACCATCAATAAAAGGTGATGCTGATCTCTCAGTTCCAAAGATTGAGGGTGACATAAAAGCACCCAAAATAGACATTAAAGGGCCACATGTGGACATTGATGCTGACAAACCTGGATTCAAAATGCCAAAATTCAAAATGCCCACCTTTGGATACAAAGGTCCACAAGTTGAAGGCCGAGAGTTTGATGCTAGCCTCCCTGACACCGGAGTTGACATAACTCTACCTAAAGTAGACATCAAAGGACCTGAACTTGACGTAGAGAGTCCTAGTGGTAAGATCAAGGGGCCCAAATTTGAAATGCCAAGAATCTCAGGACCACATATTTCAATGCCTGACATTGGTTTCAATCTCAAAGGACCTAAAGTAAAAGGTGACCTTGATGTGTCCGTTCCTAAGATTGAGGGGGACATTAAAGGACCTGACATTGATATTAAAGGCCCAAACATAGAAATTGAAACGAAGCATGGGGGCTTTGATATGCCAAAAATCAAAATGCCAACGTTAAATCTCAAAGGGCCTAAAGTTGAGGGGCCAGATGTTGATGTTGACATTAACTTACCCAAAGCCAACATTGACGTGAAAGCTCCTGATATAGACATCAACTCTCCGGAGATTGACATTGAAACTCCTGATGCAAAATTCAAAGGCCCTAAGATCAAATTTCCAACACCGTCTGGCCCCAAGCTGCCTGAGTGGGATCTTAGCCTTAAAGGACATCAATAAAAGGTGATGCTGATCTCTCAGTTCCAAAGATTGAGGGTGACATAAAAGGTCCCAAAATAGACATTGAAGGACCAGATGTGGACATTGATGCCGACAAACCTGGATTCAAAATGCCAAAATTCAAAATGCCCACCTTTGGATTCAAAGGTCCACAAGTTGAAGGCCGAGAGTTTGATGCTAGCCTCCCTGACACCGGAGTTGACATAAGTCTACCCAAAGTAGACATCAAAGGATCTGAACTTGACGTAGAGAGTCCTAGTGGTAAGATCAAGGGGCCCAAATTTGAAATGCCAAGAATCTCAGGACCACATATTTCAATGCCTGACATTGGTTTCAATCTCAAAGGACCTAAAGTAAAAGGTGACCTTGATGTGTCAGTGCCTAAGATTGAGGGGGACATTAAAGGACCTGAAATTGATATTAAAGGCCCAAACATAGAGATTGAAAAGAAGCATGGTGGTTTTGATATGCCAAAAATCAAAATGCCAACGTTAAATCTCAAAGGGCCAAAAGTTGAAGGTCCAGATGTTGATGTTGACATTAACCTACCCAAAGCCAACATTGACATGAAAGCTCCTGATATAGACATCAACTCTCCGGAGATTGACATTGAAACTCCTGATGCAAAATTCAAAGGCCCTAAGATCAAATTTCCAACACCGTCTGGCCCCAAGCTTCCTGAGTGGGATCTTAGCCTTAAAGGACCATCAATAAAAGGTGATGCTGATCTCTCAGTTCCAAAGATTGAGGGTGACATAAAAGCACCCAAAATAGACATTAAAGGACCAGATTTGGACATTGATGCACAGAAACCAGGATTCAAAATGCCAAAATTTAAGATGCCTACCTTTGGATTTAAAGGTCCACAAGTTGAAGGCCCAGAGTTTGATGCTCACCTCCCTGACGCCGGTGTTGATATTACTGCACCCAAAGTAAACATCAAAGGACCTGAGCTTGACTTAGAGAGTCCTAGTGGTAAGATCAAGGGACCCAAATTCCAAATGCCAAGTATCTCAGGACCCCATGTTTCAATGCCTGATGTTGATTTTAATCTCAAAGGACCTCAAGTAAAAGGTGACTTTGATGTGTCAGTTCCTAAGATTGAGGGGGACATAAAAGGACCTGAAGTAGGTTTAGGTCCTAAAATAGAAATTGAAGGGCAACATATTGGTTTTGACATGCCCAAAATCAAAATGCCATCCTCTAACCTTACAGGTCCTAACGTTGAGGGTCCAAATGTTGATGTCAGCATTCCAAAAACTAACATTAATATCAAAGCACCCAAAATAAAAACAAGTGATGTCAACCTTAAAGGTCTTGAAACAGAGTTTCCAGTTGTTGATGTGAACCTTCCTAACATTGACAGTGAAGGAACAAATGTCAACCTGGGTGGAATGAAAGGAGGGCTTAAAATGCCAAAATTAAATGTGCAAATCAAAGATCCAACCGCTAACATTAAAGTACCATCTGCTGCTGTCGAAGGTGAAAAGTCAGGTATTACATTTCCAAAGTTTAGGGGTCCAAAATTTGGAATTAAGTCACCTGAAGTTGAATCATCAGTGTTTAGTATCGGATCACATGGTTCGAGAACAGAGGTAACACTCCCAGATGTTGATGCAAGTCTGGATGCTCCTGACATTAGTATAAAGGGCAAAAAGGGCAAATTTAAATTACCTAAATCAAAAGGAAAAAATAAGAAGCCTGATCTCCACCTGGAAACGCCAGCAATTGATATTGCGGCACATGCACCAAATGTTAATGTCAAGGGGACAAAAATTAAAAAACCTATTTTTGGTAAGCTTCATTTCCCTGATGTAGAGTTAGATATCAAATCACCAAAAACTAAAATCGATGGATCTGTTTCAGGGGAAATGAAACCCACCAATATTGACCTTTCAGGTGCTAGTTTAAATACCTCCACTGAGGGTTCTAGCATTCAATGTCCAGATGTTAGTTCAAAAGGGTTAGACTTTAAAATAAAGACCTCAGATTTGAAAACTCCATATGTGAAATATGGAGCAGGGATTGATGCAAGTGTTTTAGGAAGACTTACATTTGGAGGCCTTCAATACCCAAAGGATCCATTAACATTTTCTAAAATCAGGGTACCCAAAGTTGCGTTTGTTTACCCTCCACTAGAGGGCAAAACATTCAGTGAAAATGTAGAAACAGATCTTTCAGCAAGTGGAAGTGTAAACCTACAATCTCCATCTGCTAGCTGCCAAGTCGGTTCACAAAGTATTGACTTTTCCAGTCCAGAACTAAAGCATGGTGAAGGCAAAGTAAAGGTTAAGATACCAAAATTGTTTGGAAAATCAAAAGCAAAGGGAAGTAGTGCAGGTGACATACGTGGACCAGGGGTGGAATTTAGTACAAGTGGAAAGGTACTAGAAGTAGAAGGAGATCCTAGAATTGGTATATCAACCAAAGGCAAGTCAGCATCACTAGATCTGTTTAAGAAATCTCAACACCGTTCTTCGTCTCTGAGTGATGATGGTGGGCTTGCGGTCAGTTCTCCTTCAATGCATTTAGAAACTGAAGGAGGTGATATTTCATTAGACCTAGGAGGAAGCAAGATAAAGGAAAAGAAAAGTAAGTTAAAGTTTGGCACCTTTGGAGGTTTTGGTTCAAGGTCAAAGGGTTCATATGAAGTGACACTTGGTGAGGACAGTGAAGCAGGAGCAGAGGGAAGTGCAGGTCTTTCTTTACCCCCTAAAAAGTCAAGATTATCTTCATCCTCCAGCAGTGACAGTGGTTCAAAAGGTGCTTTCCGGTTTCCTAAAGTGGAACTAACTGTCTCACCAAAAAAGTAGTTATGAGGAATTTTAAACTCTCAAATGTACATTCACACACATTGACCTATTTTTGGGTAAGTTCTTCAAATATTAATATGACATACAAAGTCATTTTAATACAATACATCATACGTTTATGAGATTGTTTAAAATCCATTCAAACTGTAAATAAGATAATTTGTATTGTAATAATGAATATTGTTTTGTATATAGTCCAGATTTATTGAAAATGTGCCATCTTGGAAAATTATTCACCCAGAGTTTATTACAACGTTTGTCATTTTGTCCTTATTCATTTATCAAGTTCTTGCTAATGAATGGTGTGGTATATTTGTATCCAGGGGGCTATTGCACAGAATTGATAGTTACAACAGTTGATTTGAAGGAGAATCTTGTTTCTATTTTATATCACAAAAGCAGTTAAAACATGTATTAATTGATTGTACTTCCAAGCTTCAATATTGCATAACCGATGCACAAGAAATAAAGCAATGTAGAGCTAGCCCTAACGTGCTGATTCTGAAAAGTGATGGTGTTGTATATACCAAAAGTGCAAAAGCGTCACTGTTTAGAAACTATCAACTCTCTAAAATGCTGTCTGTACTCTTCTGTATATTTTAAAAAAATGTAATGTTATTAACAGAAAAAAAAAATCCACCTGCTTCATTTGTTTTAGGTGTTTTGCTTTCTGACTTATGCATATTCAGTTATTCCAGAGTTCACAATCTTCTTCATTTAATGCCTTTGTTGTATGCACACCTGCTTTGAAAAATGTAAAGCAATATTACAGATAAACAGCTATGTTTTGATGTCATTTGTTAAAATAAAGTTGCAATAATAGAGAGTTGGTTGGTAGGGGCAAAGCTGTTGGCATATACGATAAGATAGAACATGATTCGTTTAGGGTCTATTTTGTGTGAATTTTACCAAATCAACTAAATAAAAAAACACAATGTTTCTTGCACTTGTGCCTTTTTTTATGATATAATGTCACATAATTTGAAGAGAAATGGCATGGTATATTATATTATATGTTCTCTTTAGGTTAACACTGATTTACCACATTGAAGGAAGCACAGCATGTATTATTATTAATGGAGGTTGTCGGTTAATGGCCTATCCACTTGGGAGGAGCTAAGGAGTTAAGAAAAAGAGGACGTGGTCATATCAAGACATAGAAAGTATAGGAACATGGAACAATGAATAATGCCAAGTGATCACAAAGCAGCCTAAAAATGAAAAAGTGAATAAAAATAAAAGAGTACATAGGTCAGTAGTTTTGACAGCTTTGTTTTATTGTTAAAATATATTGTTCGAACTCTTTAAACTTTAAAGATTAAAAACAATGGTTTGTGATTGGAGAACTTGGATTTATGTATGCGGCATTTACAAGTAACAAGTTATAAGTGTAATATTATCTATTTTGCTAGGAAGATAAGAGAATAATCCAAACAATACGTTTACATAAGTAAAATAAAATGATTGATGATGCTTTGGGAAATTAATGTACAAAAATCTTGCAGAAAAACACCTGAGGAAGGACAGGACCAAAATAAATGATCTATAACTAAATAGATCTTCAGATTGTTTTGCAGATTAAGCACTTTACATCGACGTCAGTTTTGTATCTTCGTAGAAATCGATTACAGGGATAAAAAGCGATTCCTTAATTGTATTATTAACCAGGTAGTATAATATAGTAAATTATTGTTAACCAGTTATTTAGAGTTCGGCTTAGGGATGTCACCATTTGAACAACAGTAAAGAACTTGAATGTACAGTTCGTTCAAGCCAACTGAATTCATCAACCAATGATGTGAGGGAAAAACCTCATTCGCTCCCACCCTAACAACTCGTTAGGAGCCAATCAGAAGTAGAACAGTGAAGGGGAGCGGACTTCCGCTCTCAACGTTAATCGTCAGTAGCCAATCGAAGGTACAAGGGCGTCTCTAAAAATGTTGTTTGTTTTTGTAAGGTAAAACCAAGAGCGTCTTCGGCTCGGAAAATAAGTAAACATGTTTTTGTTTTTTTTGGAAAGGAGAGACTCGACTTGTCTAAAAGACAAACATGAAACGTTGTCATTACATGCCATGCGGGTCCATGCTGCACTGCTATGCATCCACGCTGTCAGGTGCAACAGCAACAGTTGACGTCAATGGCCCACCGTACCTGTGTAACTCAAAAATTCTGCTCATCCACTCACAGGTGTGTTTCATATTTTAATTTTGTGTGTGTATGTAAACGTATGCATTCCTGTATGCGGGTCGGCATGTCTTAATCAGCCATAACGTGAGTTATCTTAAAGTTCACATTCACACTGTATTTGAAACTCATTGCTGTTTAAGTAAATGGTTAATACTCGACCTAACGATAGAAATAAGGGCAATAAAATGTGCACATTTAAAGATGAATCAAAACTAAAACCATGTGACCACAAAAAGTTGGTTTTCCTTTTTAGTACAAGCGTTTAGTACAATCGTGGGTTTTCGACAGCTAAAACTATTTTGACTATAGAATTGCCTATGAACAGGAAAAAAACAAGTTACAGATATATATGTGAACTCTTGCCGTTGAAGATCTTGCAAGCGAGTTGTTTCCTACTGACAGTTTTGTACTTTTATATACCGTCACTAAAATATAATAAAGATGCAGACTGGCCACACAGCAAATAAATTATCTCAATTAATAAAATTAATACAAATCAGGAACTGAACGGGAGGGTTTATCCTTGTCATAACGGGCGTGTTTATAACGTGAGGATCAACTTGATCTTTACGACTCCATAGACGAGATGAATGTTAGAAACGTTATATGTTAGAAATTAAAAAAAAAAGAAAAATACACCACCCAGTGGTTAGACAACAGTACAGTGATTTCAATGGGTTAGTATAAAATAACTCGTGACTTAAGGCTATTGTAATATTTATAATATTTTAGCTCTAACATTTTTACTCTACATCTTTACCCTAGCTCTCAAAATAATCACATTTGTTCTAATAAATTCTGAAATGTTACATTTTAATTACTAACTATCATAAATATTTAGTAAAGGTATAAAGATATTAGAATAGTTCTTGAAATATTTACATTTTATTATGTAAAATATTCTTTCAAATGAATGTTAAAGGAATGTACTGCATCTTAGGAGTTAGGAATTTGTGATAGTCCAGTGCATCAAACACAGGATGTGAACCCAGTAGTGCAGAGGAAGGGACCTCATCAGGAGTTTCCTGTAAAATAGGAAAATACCTCTTTCCTTTTTGCAAAGACCAAGCCTTTTCCTAAAAGCGGGGCACAGAAGAAACACAAAAGCGGTAGTAGTCCTGCAAAGTTCTGGTGTGTAGGAGTTTGGATTAAATGTTTACATTCAAAATGGTGACCATTGATTACATTTAAACCCTGGAGAGCAACAAAGTGGTTTCGGGTAAGGACAAAAAACGTATAATTTTTTTAGTCAAGTAAATGCAAATTGATTGTGCATTATTATGTAAAAAGTTACTGTTGGATGGCTGTAAAACTATTTTTTAGTTGTCCTATAGTAATGTGTTTTGATGGATCAGACTTAAATCTATTTCTTTAAGGAAGGATGAATGGGACATTATAACTTGTGGTCTATCTACCTGTGTGTAATATTTGCTGTATTAAAACCCTTTCCCATGATAGATGGTGAATGGTCAAGTTTATTTGCCCCATAGCTTTGCGAAATGGCATTGAATATGACAAGCGAGGGCTGGATGAGTGTAGCTCATCTACCTGTCTTGTACATAAACAGTAAAATCTACCCAGCCACATGTTCACTGCATAGTCAGATGTCAGCAACAACGGTGGTTTACCACTCAGGTCCAACATCTGACATGTCATGTGTCATGCAACCACATGGTGTCCTTGATAGGAAAGGTTATTCGTGTGATGTGTTTCTACAGTGTGTCTTGAATCATAGACACAATGTGACTGGATTCAATATTTGAATTAGTTAGGATTTTTGAACATTATTACAAAATTTAAACAATTGGGTGTAAAGAGAGTAAGAAAACCACAGCTTACACTGCAATACTTATTCCAGAGGTTGCTATTACAATAACAGTATGTCAGAGTCAAATTTAATTTTGTTATCATGAACTGCATAGCTAGAGGGCTGGTGCTATTAGTGTGTTTATTATGTCAGGTGAAGAGGCAGCAAAACCCCATAACTGGAACATTAAGTTCCATAATTAATCCAAGCAATAATAACATACCATGTTTTTCATGTTGGCTTCAGGAAAAATATCATGATGATTTTATTCTTGTCATAAATAATAACATACTGTTGGTGTAAATGACTTCAGTACCATTGGCATGCATTTTA